CAATATGGGCATATGGAAGCAATGGGCTATACTCTCCAGTCCAGATCTCAAGATCACTTTTCCTCCATTGTCCCTTTCTCATGTCTTTTGTACATCAAAACTAATTTAATTCATCATTATTAGCAATTTCAGCTTCATGGTAAAGAGTGATGAAAGCAGTAGCTGACTGTGTACATTACTGATCTCCATGCACCCCCAGCAGCTCAAAACTCAGCAGCTAACAGCAGCTGCTTGGAAACCCTTTACAAGTCTCTTTTTCTTCCACAGATAGTGAAGCCCTTTCCCTCCGTGCATTAAATACTCAACAAAACACACTCACCAAATTATCATATCAACCCATAACCATGCATGATAATTATGTCTTAAATCAGGATTTCTTCTACTGAATTTCAACCAAAATAAACATGGTATAGAGGACAAATGTATGCTTATAGTGAACAACCATTCATCAGCTTAAGTAACTCTAATGGATGTCACTTTAAACTAAGCCTGCACCATCTGTTCTACCCCTCAATTAGCAAGCAAAAAAAATTATTCGATGCACAGTTTAAGAAAGCCAGCTAATTTATGTAAGTTTTATTTCTTTTCAGCTCAGTGAAACATGCTCTTGTAATGCTTGATATTCAGAAACAGATCAGAATGGAAGGTTGCTTTCTCTAATGCTATTAGGAATTTTATCAGGGGAAATAAAAGATCTGTGCAATATTTCACCATATCAAAAAAAATGCTCGTTAACATCTTACATTTTACTTTAAAGAGAATGATGTCTCTCTCAGTACCAAAATCAGCTGGGAACTAAACAAATCAAATCCGAAGTGCTGCATACATGAACACAAACAAAGCTCAGGACACAGCCCTGCCCTGACAGACTGAGCCTGCCAGCACAGCAGGAGGCTGTGGATGTGTCCTCAGACCCGGGGGTCTGTTGTTAACCATGTCAGCTCCTAACTCACCTGTCAGAGGCAAAACCCAGCCCTACAGACTGCTGGGCACAGAGCCTCACACAGAGCTGGCTGCCCTGGGACAAGGGGACCATTCCATGCAAGGTGAGATACCCTCCTTGGAAAGCAAACCCTGTCGAGTGAGAGCAGTGCAGTGCCAAAAAATCACCACTTGTCAAAGTGCACGAAAAAAATACAAAGCTGCATCCAATTCCTTACTGCAAACCTCCATCCAGTTTCACTTCAAGCTCACCTCTTGTACCACTCTGCAACAACTCAAAACACTAAATAGAATCTCTCTTCAGTATGTTGGACCCTGAACTGCCTGAAGGCTCTGTTACCACCTATCTCCCTCTTGGATGTTTGTCTAAAACACCCTGCAATAATAAGAGCTATTTCCACTGGAAACCTCAACTCCACCAGCAAAGGCAACACATCCCAGGGAAAGAGGTGCAAGAGACCTCATCTCCCAATACTGCTGAGGAGAAGCAGGCAAGAGAAGGTCACACTGCCAAACACTCCCACCTCACCTCTTGGAATAGCATCCTGGTTGAAACGACTTTAACATCCTGGACATACTAGTTTACATTACACCTTAATTTACATCATGGTTTGGGTACTGAGAAAGGCTCATCAGGCACAGATGAGCCAGGAGATCCTGCATGCTCAACATCAGCATTACTAAATGCTGCAGAAGCAGCTCAGAGGGAGATGGCTCACCAGGGGATTACTGACATTTCAGCTCTCTCCCCCTGCCACAGCATTCTGGAACCTGAGAGGACATGCTGAAGCCTCTGACACTGCTGTGCTGTTTTGCCTCATGTTTTAAGACAGACAGCTCTGTGCAGGCCTTAGCTATTGTTCAGAGATTCAAAGCTCAGCAAAACAACTCTCTTTTATGCTTAGCAGGGGAAGAAAAGGAGTCAAGCAGAACCACCATCCTGGAACAGCACAGACCAGGCAAACAAAACACAAATGAAGAAACAGACCAGAGGCAGAATTCCTCTTTGGCCTAAAGCATCCTGCAATACCTTCCCCAGCTCAGCCTCACTGGTGTAATCCACAACTCCTAGTGCTCACACAAACACAGGCTCTCTGCTATAAGCAACTGTGCTCCAAAGAGGAGTAAGAGCTCTCAAAGGGAATTCATCTTACCACTCTGCACCATTCTTGTGTCTTCTAAATACCTGTAAGTGCTGCTGAGAAAACTGAAGCCTGCAATGGCTGTTGGGTGCAGTTCAAGCACACTTCAAGCAAGCATAAACAGGCAAATGGCTTTGCACTGGACTTCAGTGCCTTGTTCCTTACAATCGCCTTTATGTTTCCTTGACTTGAAAAGCATTGTGACCCATCCAGGTGCCTTCTGCACCTATGGCATCTGTCTGTTACAAAGCAGGAACCAGTGATCAGGTCACAAGACAATTTGTTTAGGAGTTTCAGAGTACTGAATGCTATCAGAAGTATGTTAGGCTTCACTATGTTTTACACAGGCTGTTTTCAACAGACTTGAGACAGCACCAACCAAAGAAAAGCATATCTGCCCTCCATCATTCTTTTTTCTCCTGAATCTCTCTGAAGTCATGGTGCTGAGGTCAAGGACTTCACAAAGTAGTGTCATGAAAAAATAGAAACAATGTACAGAAAACCAACAAAGCCTAAAAAGGTCAATGATGGACATGACATACACAGATCAGAAATGGATGCCAATGAGGGAGATAGCTTGAGCCCTTCCTGTAAAGCTGCAATTTCATCACCAGTTCAAGCTCCTTTTAACCCAAACTAAACTGGTTTGCCTTAGAGATGCCTCTTCTCTGGTCCACTGATGTTTCCTTGGTGATAACATATAAGCACAAGTGTTCAGTTAGAGGAGTCCTAGACAGGCAGGAGCCACGAATCCACTGGATGCTGTCCAGAATAATGGCTCTTGTTATCCACACTCAGTCTTATTCTGAGAACACACACTTTTTTGGTGAAGTGCTAGGAAAGTTCAAATCATGCAGATTATCTCAATCTTGTTTTAAACTGATGCTTTTTCAAATGAAGAGACTGAGGTGAGAAGAGAAACAGACTACAAATATTCAGCCTCTTCCACTGTGAGCAGACCCCTCACTGCAGTTCAGCTCTCCAGATGGCTGTCCTAGGGCAGTGATGCTTAGCCTTTCACTCCTAAAGTTGACACACTAATCCATGAACTGGATCAGATGGCACCAGCTCCTCTGTGCTCTCACACCAGACAAAGCTGAGCTTCTGAACCCCTACCCCACAAGCAGTCAGGGAAAAGGCAATGATAATGCAGATGCAGGCATTAAAACAGAAGGAAGAGATTGGCATAAGAGGGGCACTAAGCCTTGGCTGGATCCTGAAGCAGACTTCACCACACCACTGACCTTCACACAGCCAGCTTGCCCCACTCAAAGGCTTCACATCTCCTACTGTACTCATTCACTGAGAAAACACCCTCCAGACATCTGAGACATGTCTCTGTTATGCTTACTAGAACTTATTAATCACAGCAAATGCTATCTATAGAACACACACATTAATGAACAGCCAGCTCAGCAGCATGAGTTCTGGAACAGAGTCACTACAGTACAGAAGTGCCACCAGTCTGTTACTGGAAAATGAATACCACAGAAATCATTATAAGCATGTAGTTCAGCAGACAAAAGATTGGGAAGAGAGCAAGTTATCTGAATAGAAATTCTGCAAACTAAGTGCAATACTGGGATTGCAAAGCACTGCATAGCTCTATGATCTACATCACTTCATGAAATCCATGCAACATCCTGTAATAATTTCAGTTTTACTGTGCTTGGGTTACTCTTCCACTGAGAATCATGGAAGTTTGTAAGAGAAAGCCAGTTAGCAAGAAAAGGGGCAGTAAGAATATGTAATACTCTCAGGAAATTACATGTACACTGCTTGTTCTCAACAGCAAGCTAAATATTTCTTAATGTGTTCCACCAGAACAGATTCTCTATTGAGACCATATTAGCTTTGGTGGTTGGGTGATAGTGTTTTTAGTGTTTGGGGTTTTTTTTCTCCTACATGCCAAACAGCTTCTACAACAGCTGCTTGTTGACAAAAATGAAAAGAAAGAAATGCAGTCATGCAGAACACTCTGCAATGTCACAACCACCTCCCAGTCAAAATTTCTATTAAAAATAATTTTAATTGAGTATGCTGAGCTCCAGAGCACTTACAACCTACACAGCCAGTCCCACCTTCACTTCTACAGGTGTGAACTCCAGTACAACCCCCATCTTTAGGCCCAGCACTGTAGGAACTTTCACTCTGAGATTCCCCACCACTTATCAAAAAGGAACATTATTACATCCCATACAATAGCTTCAGTACTTCATTAGACTTTTCAGAGAACCTCATGAACAGACCAGGACAAGACTTTTCCAAGTCACAGCTGATAATCCCTCCCCACTCCCACAGTACCTGGCTGTGGTAGGAGTTCCTCATTAAATCTGAAGGGAAATGAAGTAACATGGCAGGGATAACAAGGCAGTGGAGTTCCATGTCCTACCAACTCATCTCAACATTGTCAAATTCCAAAGACACACACACACACACACACGTTATCTTTCTTGAGCTAAGCACAGTTCATCAACTATGTTGCCCACAGAAAACAGCAAAAGTCTAGCAAGATTTAATGACAGTGAAAACAAATGCAGTTCATATATGCTTTTTTCAGTTTGCTAAACCTTTTAGTATGGCAGAAAATCAACACTGCTAAACTATCGGGATGATCAAAGCATGGCACCAGCTAACAAAGTACACAAAGAAACCAGGATATCACAAACTATGAACACCAAATGTAAATCCACTTGTGCTTCAAACACCATTCACCCAATTCCTACTGCCTTGAGTCCTTGATATCATAGCAGCTATCAGCTACCAGGATATGGAACTACAATCACTGCCTCAGTCTAATTCCCAGCTTACAGAACAGTGCCATAGAATGTCTACTATACAGCTTTCATTTAGATCAAGTAGCATTTGACATCAACACTTCTGACAGTAATCACATTCCACATGACAAAGTCTTACCTTATAATTGCTGGAATTTACCCAAGAAGTGGCCAGTCCATCAACCATTTTATCCAGCATAGTCTGATCATGTTCAAGATCAGCTGACTTCTGTTTATCTGAGAAATAATCTATCAATTCCTGGCCAACCTGAAGTCTTTTTCCAACATCCTTCTGCAGCACCTGTGCTAAGCAGTACTCCATGCTGGGCTCCATGGTGTCTCAGAAATACAGCAGCAGCCAGAAAGCCAGAGGGCAGCAGGGCCAAAAACTCCCTCTACAAATGCACGCAGGAGGTCGCCTCTTTCTTCTGTGAAGGTTACTGAGGGCCTGGGTTTCAAAGATGCAATTCTGAGAATGGCAACAATGCACCATGTGTGTGTGGACAGCAGCTGGCAGGATATTAAAAGTCCAATTTAAATAACTGGTAATAGATGAAGCAATGAGCAGCGCTGTACAGTTGAGTCTGCAATAAATCCCAATTCAGCAGTCCATTCTGAAAGAAATGAAAAAGAACAGTATTATAGGTTAAATTAAGACTGGAGGAAAAAAAAAAGATTGAAAGCATGTCACAAAATAGGTTATTCACATACAGCTGTGAAGCTGTGTAACTCAGATACAAGCAGCACTGGTCTATTTTAAGGAATCAAACAAGGTAGGTCAGGACAAAAACCTTATTCTTTACAATAGCAGTTACCCATCAGTTCCCTGAAGTTTTAGTGACAGACAGTAAATTTGTGGCTTAAAGTAATAGCTGATTAATAATCAGTATTATTGCAACTGCCACCATCCACCCCAAAAGGTGGAGACAAAATCCTTAAGCAGGTCACCAGGAAAACCTCTCTACTTTAAGTGAAAGCAGGAAGAGATCTGGATCCTGTTTTGACTGTTGGCCTTCAGCAATCAATGTCATCAGCTGGTCAGCAAGACAAAGCACTAACACAGGGCTCCAGGAATGCACAATGATCAGTTTTCAAAAACTAGGTGCTCAAGCTGTTTCCAGGGTGAATTCTGTTACATCCCAACTACACAGGTCCAGGAAATAGCACTCACTGGCACACTCTAAATGCAGTTCTGACAGCCAAGGGCACACACAAGGGAGGTCAGGCTGAACTTTGCTGCCACTCTGAGGCACAGCATCACCTTAGAAGCATTTGGTTTATGCAAAAAAAAAAAAAAAATTACTGTATATTTGGGCTCTGTTTATGTTCTTGAACCCTAGGAACTCTCTTGTCCCCTTCATTGGTGATTCTTTTTGTCCCTCCATCTGCAGCCAAATTAATCCCTCCAGGCAGCCAGGGACCAGACCAGGGCCTGTCCTCCACCTTCCCACAGACAGGGTTCCTGGCATCACCACCACAGTGCTTCCTGAAGCACTCCCTCATCACATGTTAGCTCTTTTAGGAAGTGGGTGATAAAAACCCAGGGTGTCTTTTTGTTTCCTGGCTAATAATACCCAAAGCTAGAAATCTACCCTACTTTTTCCAGCAACATGAGGAAAGCAGGTCAAGCTCAGAGTAAGGGAAGAGGTTGTGCAGCGGCCGCCTGGTTCAATAAACAACTGGAAGGAGGCACAAGTTTGCTAATTGGAAGCACAGGGGCAGCAAATAAATACCTTCTGTTTGAGCAAATAAGGCCTTCGCAGAGGTCTTAACAAGGCAAAACGGACCTGACAGCAGATGAGATGCACACAGGAACCCCAGCCTGGAAACAAAAGCACCCTTTGCACAGCAGGTATTCAGTTCATTACCTCACCCCATCCTCCCTGGCCATATCTCACCACCACCAGCACAGCATCTAGACTCAGCTCTGAGGGCCTCAGCTTCCCTAAGCCTACAAGCATCCCAGCTTCCCACACTGCTTGTGCAGGAGTCACCAGAGTGCAGGGCCCTCCATTCCAGGCAGTTCAAATCCCTGCTGGTGATGGGCATCAAAACTGGTTCAGTAAACCAAAGGACTCACCTCAACCAACTGCCAGGCAAATCCTACCCTCAGCCAGAAGGGACTGTATATTTGTACACTAAGCTCCCTGTCAGCAAAACCTCATCCCCAGAGCAGGAAGGAAGCCTTGGCGCTACTGCACACACAGCACCTCAAGCTCTGAGTTAGTGCTTTGCCAGATCACTGCTTGTGACCCCTACCCCAATCTAAACCATCTCAAAGACACACAAAACTCCCACCATTTTATTTCAAGTCACCTCAGGAGGGATTTGATTTTAAATACTAAGACTGTCAAAAACCCCTCCAATCAGTACCTCTTAACTCCTTTTTTCTTCTAAAAGAAAGTTCCAAACTAGAAGGAAGCATTGCCTTTTTTACTGCAGTTGCTACTGATGCTACAGTTTCTCACTTGGTCAATTTAGCACCAAATCTGAAAGAAGCACTCTGAGCTTTCCCATCCTCAACCAAAAATGGTTCATGACATGGCACTCACTCCCATGGCAGCACAGGCACAAAACCAGAGCCACTTCCACAATTGTACAGGCACAGCAGATGCTCTCATCCAGGTCTCCCTGTCTGCAGCTTTGAATACTGGCCCCTGCCCTGCCCTCTAGCACAGGCTGCTCTCGCTCCTTGCTGCAGACACTCCACTTAAGGGAGACAGTCTTACACACAGCATCTAAATATCCAGGGGATGGATTGTCACATAGCAGAGAAACATTTCAGTGGACACCTCTCCAGCATGGAGCTACTGAGGAAGGAACAGGGAACTGGCATTAAACTGCTACCACATTCCAGCTGAAACCCTTCAAGTTAGCTGGGCAGTTTGTTTCTGGACTCCAGAAGCTGCACACATGTTCAAAAAGGGACTCTTCTGTTAAACTGGATACATAGTGAAGAAAGTGTAAATGCTTTAAAATGGAAATTTAGAACTTGCTTAAACTTGAAAATTCAGATTACAGAAGGGTGTAAATGAGAGCTAGTTGCCACAAAATAGCCATTTTTTATTAACATCACACGGAGGCATGTCCCAACACGTCCAGTAACAATTAGCTGGCCATTCTGCCATGAGAAATGAGCATTCAAAGCTTCAGGTCCGCCTTCTATGTGGTTTTCATTAAAGACTTTGTAAGTCTCTGCCTACAGAGACTTATAAGCACAGAAACAATCTTTAAAGCAAACGAACGTAAATAAATTTCTCTCCACTTTCCTTGCTAATTAAACACATGAAGGAAGGCATAGGGCAAAAAATCTTGGTGCACTACAGAAGAACAAATTTGTGTCACAACCTTGAGGACTGCAGTCTAAAGAAGATCCACTATACATTATGGTACCACTATCAAATGCATATGGGGAAGAAGAGCCAGAAATATCTTTGAATCCTGGGGAAAACAGTAATAGGAAACCAAGAGGAAAAGCTCAATGTGGCTTGTATCTACAAACTAACAGATGTTTAAGTAGCGCTTTTCTAAAAAAAAAAAAAAAAAAAAAAAAAAAAAAGCTATCCTACACATGTTAGGAAGTCTGTTGACTCCCCTCTTCCCAAAAGGAGGAAGTGGAAAAAAACACCACCTGAGAAAAACAAGACCCACACTGACAAAAACACTAACCTGCCAGACAATGAAGCATAGGGCTGCTGCATCCCACCAAGTCTGCAATCACCTGGGCAGATGCTCCCCACATAAATTTTTAAAACCACCAAGCCACAGTTGTCAGCCCCAGAGGTCCACTCCTGGACTTTTTGGGTAGCCAACGTTACAAGACATAAACAACTTTGGACGGGGATGTTGAGTACAACCTCTTCCTACAGAAGAACAGCAATGCAGAACTCAAAATTAATAACTCAGTGGCACAGGTCCTGTGTTTGGAGCTCCCCCAAGCTCTGAGAAGGGCTGCCAGTATAAGCTCCAGAGCAAGGGTTTTCTCCAATCCTCCCAAGCCCTGCAGTCTGACCTCAAAGAGACAGGCTAGGCTCAACACACAGACAAAATAATCCAAGAGAAAAAGCTACCCCAATTCTGTCATTGAAAAAAAGTGCTTTGTTTCACTAATCAGCTATCAAAACTGTGTGCTTCACAACACCCAAATTTTCCATCAACAGCTATCCAGCAGAAAGCCACTATACAAAGGTTTATGTTTAATGCCACCTTGGAGCTCAAAATAATGAATTTAAAGGGGAAAGCAGACAAAGATCAAACAGCCCAAAGTTACTCAGCTTAGATACTACCATCATAACAGCATAAAAGCTGATACTATTTACAGTAAAGCAACTGGCTCAACACATAGAATAAATTAATCCAAGCACTAATAAGGAAATACTTGTTACCTAAGATGCTGTGGCAATATTAAACTGGGTACCTAAGACAATGAATTTTTTTCAGCACTTAGGAGAACACCACCTCAGACTAAGTGAAAGTGCATGATTTGCAATTCTCAAGTAAGATTTTATCTTAGGAAACTTCACAGGAAATTCTGAATCTTCTTTCTCTTGCAAGGAAGGGAACCTGAAGCACATAAAGAATGCACTACTACTGTCTTGGTGTCCTGCCTACCCTTGGGAGTTCTTCCAATATAACTATTTGACTTTTAAAATTATATTCCACTCTCTTCTGCTCTAGACATCAGGTTATCATCTTTGTCATGTTCCACTGTCATCTTCATTTGCCAAAAAGTCAGTGCAGTCCAAAACTTCCCCAGACAACTGCTCCAACACAAGCTTGCAGACAAGCCTCTTGCTGCCACTCACAGTCACCAGAGGCAAGAGCCAGCACCACTCAGTGACCAGTCATCTTCCTCACGGCATCTCTCAACTTCCAGCCAGTGAGCTTCATTTGTAACCAACCTGTAAACATGACCACACTCCTTTGGTGCCTTTTTTTTTGTGTACATGGTTAGCTGTAGCCCAACATCTGTAGAAATAACACAGCAACACAATGGTACCAACAAGTCACCTCCTTCACAAGTCTCAGGACCTAACTGCACAGTCACTTCAGTTTAAAATTAGTTTAAGGTATATTCAACAGATCTCTGTCAACAACTGAACTCTGATCCTTCAGGAAATCTCCACCCTAGCCAAATGGAGCAATTTTTTCAAATATAAAAGCAACCAGGCATTCAACCTGCAGTAGCTCACCACTTCTGCAAGGTGGGCAGTGTCAACACACATCTAACTTGTTTTGCCAGCCAAGCCCCCTTGGGCAAGAAATTCAGAGCACTTAGAACAGCATGTGGAAACCATGTGCTGCGAAGACTTAAGTGGGGATCTCATCAGCAAGGCAGTGTCAAATTGCAGCTCTGCAGGGTGGAAGTTCTCAGCCCTCTGTCCACTTCTCTATTTTTGCTTCCACCAGTACAGCTATGCCCTCCCCAGAGGGGACTGGTGTCAGGCCTCTACAGCATTACAATCACCAGCACGCAATCAAACCCACTCTTCCCTCGGGTGTGCAAGCGGCCGTGAACAAAGCAGTTTAAAGTGTTCCTACTCGTTCAAACTCTGAGACAAGGAGGTGGCAAGTACCCCATCAAGTGTCCTACTTGAAGAAGAAAGCAACATTT